CCACGTAGTCGACCGCGGTTCACATCCCGGACCCGGTGGCTTAAAACTCACGCCGGACACGTGTGCGTGCGTGCCCAAGATCCCGAGAGGAGAACAGAGGAGAAGGGATTGCAGCGTGACCATCCCCCCTGGGGGGTGATTTCTCGCTTTCTGTCTCTATGTCTGTCTCTGTCTGGCGAGTGCACACGCCCTATAGTGGAAAACCTCTCCAAAAAAAAAAGAATCCTCCCAGACTATCTTCCATCCTCATTTGGCATAACTCCTGCAACCCAGAGCCCTCCCCATCCCCCTCGTCTTCATAGGGTCTCAGGTAGGACTGCCAGGCAGATGCCAGAGGGTGACAGGAACAGGGCAGAAGGGGCCTAGCCCAGGGGGCAGGGGAAGAACATATTGTCCCCTTCTCACCCACCTGTGGGTCACCCTCAGAGAGATCCTTTTGATGACTGCTTGTTTCTTGGACGCATTCACAGAGGAGTATATGGACACCACTACAGAGAGGCACAGGGACAGAGCCACCTCCCAGACTCACCCAGCCACTCAGGTGTGCAGCTCACGGACAGGGTCGCACTCAGACCCACACTGCAGGCACAGGCAAAGATGCTCCAAGGGGAGCTCCTGACTCGGGGACATCTGACACAGCCTCTGGGCAATTCCGATGCACGTCTCTCTCTCTCTCTCACACACACACACACACACACACAAGCAGTGCAGACACACAGACACTTGCATCAAGACCTCAGGACCCATAGGATACCAGAGAGCCCAGGCACTCCCAGAGAGGCTGCCGTGGGCAGACAGAACAAACAGACTCCAGCATGACCTGCCCCACCTATGTTGGCACAGAGGGAGTATTCTCCTTGGTTCCAAACCCAGCACTGGGTGTCCACCCCATGCCCAAGTCCTCCTAGAGCTCTGAGATACCAGAGTGGTCAGAGGAGTGAGGTGACCTCTGGGGACAAATGCAGAATATGGTGTTGGCTAGGATCTTGTCGGGGTGTTCAGAGTGGGAGTATCCCATTGGGCTCAGTGGATCTAGAGGTCCAGGGAGCTTTTCTGAAAGGTTGCCTTGTGTCAGGGTACCTGGAGTGGCCCAAGGCCGAGGTCTGCTCTTGAAGACCTCCCAGGCTGCAGGGAGACTCCAGATTCCAAGAAGCAGATGGCAGTGAGGCCTCTGAGCTTTATCCAGATTTGGTTGGAGCCATCAGAGGGCTGAGGCAGAGGTGCGGGCCACTGGGAGAGTGAGGACTGGCCATCCAGGGAAGCCGATGAAGCGTTGAAGTCTAAACTCACTTTTACGTGTTCTTCCCATGTGATTCTTGTTGCCACATGCTAAGATGTTACTTTATCCATTGATGGGGGAAAAATGAATTTAAATTTTGTCTGAACTCCTCAAAAAAATCAGTGCGATGTAAACATGTTCTGAGTTTAAAAAACAAAACAAAACAAAGTGAAAGGGGGCTGGATGGTGGTGCGGTGGTGGACGCAGTGCATTGCAAGGCCAACCTACACGGGAAGGTTCTGGGTTCATGCCTTGGACCTCACTGAGTACACCAAGTCAGCATGTGCTGTGATCGGGCTGGCTGAGGCTGGGGGCGGGTCTTGGTGTAAGGAGCATATCGGGGATGCCGATTCTCCCACTCTCTCTCTCACTCATGGGAAAAATACATAAATAAAAAGTGGGGTTTTTAAAAACATAATTTTAAAGAGACAGATGAGAATCGCAAAGGCCAAATGCACTGTGTTGACCTCCATAGGTCCTCAGGCCCGGAGTGGTGGGGAGTGGACTTCCAGGAGACGGGCAGTCCTCTGGGCTGCTGCTCCTCGTCTCTGTCCTTGGCAGGTTGCCTTCCCCTGCTGTTACTGAGCAAGGAGGATGGAGCACAGGTTTGCGAGTCCCCAGCGCTGGAGCCTTAGCTCAGGTTCTTGCTGGCCGTGTGAGTGTAGGAGCCACCTTTCCCACCTGCCAAGTGCAGAGGTTCCAGGCACACTTAGGGGGCATT